CCTGCAGGTCTATAACAGCCCCGGTTACATACTTCTCCAGTCCTAAGTATATATGGACAGCAATAAAATGCCATATTCTTATGATACAACGATAGATTATCTATATAATATGTATCGATTAATATATTTCGGAATTAATTTTCAATTGAACATTGTTCTCCCGGATAATATATTTCGGAAATAATTTTCATTTTGAATTATTTTCTCTCGAATAATATATTAGCAAAAGCAAATGGATACCCAAAACACTACCGAAGCCGTACGGCCGCAAGACATTGCTGCTTCTTGTGTAACCTCTGAGCTCGCCTTTTACGAAGAAAACCTAAAAACAACCAACATAATTCGATATTCTGGTGAAGACTATTTACTAGGTATCCCTACTCGTAATGATATAGTCGCAGAAAATGATGAGGATTTAACTATGATTCTTGAAAACGCTTTAGCCAATCACAAAGATGTACCATTTATGCCCGTTGATATAGAGGAATCAAATGAGTATATTAACCACATTCCTCATTACGTTTTACGACTCTATGGCCCATTAATAAACGGTCAGAAAGCAGTAGTAACGATTACTGGCATTAAAGTTTTCTTTGACATCCGTGTTCCTGACAATAAAGATGCCGGGTTTTTTGAGTCCGAAATTAAAACCATTTTTACCAATGAAAAAGATGAAAAAAAAAGCGTAGATGTAAGTAAAATTTGAATAGAGCATATAAAAGCATTCCCTATCCGTGGTTATCATGCGGAAAAAAAGTCGTATCTTCGTATTTACACTACAAGCACCTTCCAAAGAAAAACTGCTCTAGAAATTATTCTAAAACATAAGCTGGAGACTGCCTCAGACGATATATGTGCGTATTATAGAAAAGTTGCCAGAGAATACGGAATATCGCTTTCCGGGTGGAGTCTGCTAACCAATTATGAATACAATAATAGTAGATTACCTTATAATGCTCGTTCGCCACTTTGTTCACATGCTTTCTCTATATCTATCAATAATTTCCGGTTTGTAGAGGACCCTTCAAAATTATATAAGACTTGCTCTCCATCATTTATTACACATGATCGAACATTGGTTCTCGCTTGGGATATCGAAACACACACAACGCGCGGATTAGAATATCTTCCTATGGCAAAATACAAAGAAGACACCGTCTTTATGATTTGTATGACTGTTCATTGGAAAGACGACCCAGAACCATTAAAACAAATCTGTCTTGTCGATGTAGAGATGAGGTCGAATCCGAATTGGATTACAGTTATCTGTGGGAATGAGAAAAATCTGTTACAAGCATTTGCTTTATGTTGGAAAGCACTAGCTCCTGATATCGAAATTACCTATAATGGATCCAAGTATGATTGGCCATTCGTAGTAGAAAGGGCGACCCAGTTAAAGATTTTAGAATGGATGTTTACGCAAATGTCTGGAAACCCACGTCGAAATATAAATATCGACAGTATTCTCCGTTGGAATTACTATGGCGGAGTAGGTGAGCCTTTTTATAAAGATTTTTTCCGTAACGAAGGAACATGGGCGAAATCTTTGAGAAAGGAAGATAAAGATAACAACAAAATAAAGAATCGTGAGGGTATCGAAATTAAAATCTCTCCAGATGAAAATTTCAAATCCGTTTTCCTTAAACTTCCAGGTTGTGTCCCAATCGATGTAATAGTATGTTTTAAGAAACTTTACCCGCGTTCGGAAAAAAATTCACTTAACTATTACTTGAAGACCCATAGTCTCGATAGTAAAATAGATATGCCTATAAAAGACATGAGAAAATACTACGAGCAAAGCAAAAGAATTGTCACGTCCGAAGCTAGAGAAAATATGCATAAGATTGCGGAATACTGTCTTGTCGATTCTATATCTTGTCAGCGACTCATGGTTAAAAGAAATGTTATAAATGATTACAGAGAGGTAGCCTCAATCGCATATGTATCTTTATACGATTCACATTTCTATGCCGGAGGTATGAAGGTATGCAATCTATTAGGTGCCGAAGCTTGGAAACGGGATATTCTGATTAGTATGATTTTGTCCGAGAAGCCAGAATCGGGTAAATTTCCTGGTGCTTACGTATTTCCTCCAGACAAAGGCCTAGAAAACAAACGCCCCGTAACTGGTCTAGATTTTGCATCTTTATATCCGAGCATTATCATGACATATAATCTCTCGCCCGAAAAAATAACTTTATCGGCAGAAGAAGCAGACGCTCTCATGAAAGAAAATAAAAGTCTTCATAAAATTGAATTTCCTTTTAATGGTCGAACATTGCGCGCATGGTCAGTACGACATGAAAATATAGACGACAAGAAGGGTTTATATCCAGTAGTATTGGAAGATCTTTTGAGTAAACGGAACGAGATGAAAACACGGCTTGCCGTACTTGCAAAAAAAAAGGAACATCTGGAGACTAAAGAAACCTTATCAATTTTCGAAAAAACAGAATATAATTCTATTTGCTTTGAATATAATTACCTAGATTCGAAACAAAAAGCAGTAAAATTATATATGAATACTTTTTATGGAGAAGCGGGTAACAGTATTTCCCCACTTTTCTTCCTACAATTGGCTGGCGGTGTCACATCAGCGGGACAGCGCAATATCAAGCTCATTGCAGAATATGTAACTAAGAAAGGTTTCAGGATCAAATATGGCGATACAGACTCTTTGTATCTTATTTGCCCTGATAGATATTACGAAAAATGCGATCTAGCCTACAGTGACGGAAAAGGTGCTATCTCAAAATTAGATTATTGGACCGAAATGGTTAATATTACTATGAGTGTAATGGAGAAATTACGTAATGATGTGAACGCATATCTTAAAATAATAAGTAGATCGACTTATTTGAAAATGTCATATGAGGAGGTATTGTTTCCTGTCTGTTTTACTGGTAAAAAGAAGTATTTTGGTGTTAAGCACGAAAGAGAAGTAAATTTCAAACCAAAAGAACTCTTTATCAAAGGAATCGATACCATCAAACAGGGACAATCCCAACTGTTTAAGACTATAGGAAACCGAATCATGTGGGGAGCGATGGAAATCAATAATGAACGTTCACTCCATCAAATCGTCGAAGATGTTCTTAAAGAGGCTATATCTAATCCTAAACAATGGATTTTTGATCAGTTTATAGAGACCGATGCATGGAAACCCAGTGTAAATAACCTACGTGTCCAGCGTTTTATGGGGAGGATGAGTGAAAAATATAAAAATAAAATTCCAGAACCGGGTGAGCGATTTAGTTATGTAATGGTTAAACCAGATGCGATTTTCGATTTATCTGGTAAAAAACTTCAATTAAGGAAAGCTGATCAAATGGAATTTGCTGAAGTAGCTAAGGAACTTAGCAAGGAATTAGATCTATCATACTACTTTGAAAATACGATTACTGGTCTGTGTGCCCGATTTATTATGTATGACAAGAGATATGAACCAGTACCTTCAGATAAAATTATGCAAATCAAAGAATCGGATAAAAAGTATAAACAAATCGACAACTACGCCCAGAGCCAAGCCAAAAAATGGCTCAAAAAATACATAAATGAGTTGAGTGGTATCTCCGCTGAAACGATGCGTGCTCGTGGAGTTGCATATCGCCGTGCTTATAAAAATGCTATTAAAATGGCACGAAACATATTATATCAGAAGGTCGGCGAAGCGTACGAAATATTTCACGGTAATCAACTAAGTTACGAAGATTTTATCGTAAATGATCCTGTAGAAAAATTATGGGAAAGGTTTGTAGAATATGAAAAATTATCTACTAAAAGTGCCGCTTCAGTCAGCGCCGAGATAGAAAAAAGTATTCGTTTCAATTTTGCAAAACATTTAAATCCACTCCTTTCTGTTATTGAAAAATATGATATATTCTTTCATGAATTAGTATATCATATGCGATATAAAGAGCACATATCCATTCCCGAAAAAATTGGCGCACCAGAAACTCTGCGAAAAAATGAAATAATAACGGAACAACCTACCTTGCCCAGTATATCGAAAGCTGACCAGTTAGCGCTCGACAGCTTTCTAAATACATGGAATAAAGCAATTGACCTGTAAATTTTCTTGGCAACTATATATTTTTTTCATGTGGCCACTCAGACGGAGGACGCAAAGCGCTTCGATTTCTATTTTTCCGGGTTTCCCACATAGGCTTCAGAACAGTAAGTAATATAATCGCGATAAGTAAGAGAATAAGAAAAGTAAACAGTAAACCTAAATAGTTCGCAGTAATCGGGATTGCTTCTATCCCTCCAATAGACGTGCGTGAGTCAGATTCTATCTCCTCTATATTCTGTACCCGTACGGCTGAGCTATCTATAGAACTCTTCTTCTCGCTATTTTTTTCCGTTACTGTAGAGCAAGTAGAATTTTTACGTGTACTATTTGGCAGCGGTACCGCCGCCGTACGGCTCTGTGTGGTTGGGGGTGAAGAAATAGACGATTTATCGGGTGGTGTCTGTACACTCTGTGTATTTTCACTATTTTTTATTGATGGGTCTTTAAACTCGCCACTTTTGAGTGGTACCACAGCCTCTGAACTTGGCTTTTTTGGCCGTACGACCAGAAAAGGACGAAGACTAAACTCAGGAACATCATCGTTCTGCGGTGATACCACTGAGTCAACTGTTGGGGTATCAAGCTCCTGCTGTACGGCCTCGCTTTGCGTATTTTTTATTGCGGAAACAATGGGGCTCTGCCCCTGCTGTACGGCCTCGACATCTCCACCAATTATTGCAGAGCAAGCCATTAGGCGATTCTCCGATTTCAGACACTCAAGTTCATTGACCTTCGATTCCAATTCGCTCTTTATATTTTCTAATTCCGCTATTTTGGAGTTGAGAGATAAAATCTCAGATTCTTTCTTCGATGAGTCATTTTGAATAGAAATCACATCTTTCTGGGCTGAAGACAACTTACTTCCAATATCTTGATTATAGACTCGAGTGATTTAATTTTCTTGGATTTTGTAACATTCTCAGCCTTAGATTCAGCAAGAGAAAGATCTTTACGAATATTCTCAGAAGTGAGATTATTATTTTCGATTTTCAACCGCTTAGTCTCGCCAATAAGTTCTAAAGCGTGGGTATGTAACTTCTGTTTATCACTATTAACGTTACTAAATGCACTTTCCCAATGCTTTCTTTCTCGATTCCACCCCTTTCTCTCCCGATCGAAATCCTTCACTTGCTTAGAATATTTATCTTGCAATTTTTCAGTAAGATTATTAATTTTTGCTTTCGATTCGAGAGCCCGATGTAATTTTTCCTTAAGCTCTTCTTCATACATACTCCCAAGCCGGTTCCCTTCTGAATTGATATTTCGTAATGTATGCACATTGGTCATAATGATTACGATTGGTGTATAATGACTAATAAAATATTTTTGTATTACAATGACTGTAATAATACAGATACTACGGATAGTACGAATACTCCTGATAGTATATACTACCGATAATATAGTTTCTACTGTATGTATAGTACGAATACTACTGATAATATGGATACCACTGGTACAACGGATACTACTAATAGTATTGATATTTTTTACAAAAAAATTTTTATCGTTTTATAAAAAAGCGCGAAGTGTTAATAAACAATTCCATCGAGATAAATGATTTTCCTCGGAGAAAGCGTATGCGATCTGACGCAACAAAACTATCTTCCACGGATTATGAAGATATTATGCAATATCGTGATATAAAACCTAAACCTTTAGAAAATTTGAGGCGCAAATATCACGTGTCAAATTCTCGCTTATATCAAATTTGGAGAGGACAAGAATTTTGTAGAATTGAATGGAACCAACCTATATCTAACTCAGCCTTTTCTTCTGACATAAATTCTAACGCGCAAAGTACACTTTCTTCGAAAGATCAAAATGAAAAAGATGTAATACATCTCAATTCTGCTAAACTACCGATAAAGAAAGTGGCGACGAAAGTCGCTTCGCAAAGCAAAAAACTTAAATTTGGAGGCCGTACGGCAGCGGAGCTTCGAGTCTCTGACTCATTCAACATGCCGACACCTGACGCACAGAGCGCGCACGGAAGTGACTCACGGAGTGAGGAAGCTTCTCCCGCTTTTAGATCGACTAAAAAAATAAGTCATGAGGAATTGACGGCATTATATGAGCGAGAGAATAAACGAGACGAAAAAAATATAGCAAATTCTACTCGTTTATTAGGCAGTGATACACAGACACTAATTAACTTCTTTTAGTGCGGGACGGGGGATTCTCTGGAGGTGATATATTCAAGAAGCTTTTCATAACGCATTTGTAACCTTTCACAAAGATTATTTATTTCAGCTTTAACCTTGAGAGTAGTATATAGCGATTTTTCTAACTCCTCATAGGTCATTTGTTTTTTTTAAAACCCGAATTATCGGAATCTAGGCTAAAACCCGCGGAAGCATGCCATTTCTCCATTGGTTTATTATCACTCTCATTACTATTGGTATCCTGTGAAATTTGATCGGATACCAAAGGCTTATCATTCTGAGATGCAGTAGCGCAATTTACTTCAAGCTTATTCTTGACCTTATGCATGTTTATTGGAATAAAATACTCTTTGCCATTACACACGAGTTTCAATTCTCGCTTCGACGCGAGTAAATCGTAATCATATTTATCCAGGAGAGTATTCGGTAAAATTAGCATTGGCTTAGGATATTTCACTACTGCAAAATCGGAATGTATAGTGCAACCTCGGACAAAATTTATAGGCACATTACGAACAATTCCAAGTGATTCAGTAGGGACGGTAGCGATACCTCTAAGGTCATGCTTCTCCTCTGTATCGATATTTAATTTTAATCGTTCAACTATATCTTCAGACATGATTGGGAAATTTGCGCCGGGGTCTACTGTAGCAGCTGGAATTACCAATCGTTTAATTTTACATCTAGTAGTCACAACATCGGTTGCAGGATCTTTTTTTTGAATAAAGTCAATTTCCATCGGTTCATTTATCGTCTCTTCGTCTTCAGACTCATTATCCTCTGGCCGTACGGCTGAATTCGGTGTTTTAGAAATTACATTATAAGCCGGTTCATCATTAGAACATTTTGCGTTCTGAGCGTATAGCTGTGTAGCGATTTTTTTCTGAAGTAGGGATAATTTATTCTCAAGCATTTCGTTAAGTTTTTTCTCCATCATTTTTTCCATGATCTGTTCTAATCGAGTTTGTTTATACTGATTTTTTTGCGGTACCGCCTCAGAAATAGTGTGAGAAGGTAGAGTTTTTGAACACTTCTTATTATGTAAAGGCATAGAACTACGTGGTGGAGACTCAGAGCTTCGCTTGTTCTTTTTCTCTACTTTTTTTTTTCTCGACTTATATTGACATTGATCTCAGCTTCGGATTCACTCGAAAAATTATCTGAATTAGAGTTATTATTATTAGTATCTGAAGTGCTACTATTACTGTCAGAAGCGCTCGAATCCGACTGTGAATTGGCATCAACAAAGTTAACACTACTTTTGGGTCTTTTCGCCGTACGGCTAGAATTGCTCTTATTTTTCTTCTTTTTACAGTTACGAGAATTATGTCCAGTCTTACCACAGTTTGAGCATCGATGTTGCGACGATTTTCTATGGTGCCACTTAGTCACATG